TGATCGTGCATCGATCCAGGTCCCGATCGTCGTTTGAGTCACGTTTTGTGTGGTCACGATTTATACTGCCCGTGACAGTACTCACAACACTGTGATGCAGCATTGTGTGCGGGCCGTGAACAATTTCCCACAGCCTTGGTTGATAACAATTGTTGCTATACATGCCAACAATTGGGAGACATCAATGTCTTGTTTACACAAACATACAAAACAAACATCCACGGAATTGATCTATATTATTAAACCCATTCGCCATCTAGGAGTCTCACAATATTCTTGTGGCTCAGGTTATTTGGGAATTTAGTACCACCAAGTCAATCTAAGTCACGGGTTTAATTCTAAAACCGTGACAATGGTATGAAACAACTATATGGGTATCTCCTCACTGCTCACGTGGTCTACAGCTCGTTCCTAGGATCGATTATTCCGCTTACATTATTTTACCTGCTCTAAGTCACATTTTGATATCCAACCTGTGCGGTCAGGCTATCATACCTACCCTGATATCCAGGCTGCTCACCTGGGCAATCGAACTCACCAAACTAATTACTCATCCACCCCAAATTTCTTCCTGGCAGTGGGTGGGTGGGTGGTTATTATGACAAAGCTAGACCTGTATCGAGCTAGCAGCAAAGACAAAAGAAGGAGAACAAATATCCTAACTTTTCCCTTTATATAACTATTCTCAAATGACCTCATACTTACCGATACTCATTAATCAATCAATTCAACACCCAATTCGTCATTCCATTTGTCAAACTACATCACACTCCCTGATCGTCATGGATCTGGGTTGTGATCTTGTGACAAATGAATGCCTCGTGACTTCGTTCACGGCATCTCAAATGATTTGGGATTACTAATATACCAAGCAACTAAACATAGCAAATTTTCGTAGGAACATCAATTTATCTAAATTGGATGTCGAAAAGCTATGATTTCTACATATTCAATCATAATCAAAAAATAAATTTAAATGTCCTTTTCTTTTTGGGAAAATTTGCATCCGAATCAACGCTTAACAGTTATCAGCCATACCAACCAATACTTAAAAGTATTTCAAGAAATATCCAAAGAACTTCCTTTTATAATTATTAGGCGAACACCGAGTTTTTACATTGGCAAAAGTCGAATCAAAATTTGACTTTTGTCAAAAAATTTTTGAAAAAGCGAAATGCAAAATTGATGAAAGTGGTACAAGTTAATAGTATTTGCTTGTATAAATAAGCTCCGTAATGTTAATAAGCGCGTTAAATTAAAAAGATGAGATTAAAAATCATAAGAAAAACATGTAATGTCTATGAATGCTTTTGCTGAAAATAAAGTGTAAAGTCTTTATTTTTTTTTATAAATCGGTCTGTTAACGATTATATTATTTGTATATCCATTCAGGCCAGCAAAACTCTTGGCTGAACTGATTGAGTAAATTTCTTAATCGACAAATGACTGACTCGATTAACAGGATCAATCTTTTAACCAAATCAGTTGGGGTGTGAATATTTTATATTTGAGACACAGTTTTTTAAGCAAAAACTTATTGTAATTTTTATTATAATAAATCGTGGGACTTAAGAAAACACACCAACAATAACTCAAAATGCATTAGAAGAGTTACTTCAAATCCTTATCACAAAAAGTGGATATCCTTCATCTCTACAGAATAAGATGTTATTTAAATTTTATTAAACATAATAAACTAAAGTGTAAATAAATTCATATACGTAACATACAAAATCAATTTCAAGGCAATCTAAAATATAAAAAACTTCTAGCTTCAATGGAAGTTTTACCTAAACAATGCTTTTGCCTTCTTTATGGTCATAATCTTGATCTCTCATTTAAAATATACATTACCTTAATGATTGTAGTTAACGTACTCCAATGACAAAAAAAATCACCAACTTATGACAACTATACTAAGACATTCACTTTTTTATTCGATAATCCTGACGATGACATCATTGAATTTCTCGTTGAAGATACAATCAATTTTGTAGCTTTCATAGAAAATAATGAAAATCCGCCATTTAATCAATTTCCGATTTCTATTGGCGTCAAGTTAGTAATCAAAATTTAGAAATAATATCTGTAGATATAAATTCAATTATCAAAGGTTATGACCGATATACTAAAACATAGTTATAAATTATCACGCTTGACCTATGTGATTATTGACCCGGTGTTACAGATCCCTTGGAATTTTTTTTCGTTTATTGCTTTTTTATTTGTTTGTTTCTTTTTTCTTGCTTTATTGTTTGTTTGTTATAAATTTCTTTTGTTTGTTATTTTTTTTTTATCCGTTTTTATTTGCCCTTTATTATGTAGAAATGTGTATGTCGAAATGTTTCTAAAATTTTAACATCTATACAAAGTCATCGTTATTACTAAAATTGGGAATTTCTGTACAATGAGCCCTCTCAAAGCTGCCATTCTACACAGTCTGACATTATCTTGAACAATGATCAGTCATTATTAATCTGATCCTGCATGGATCGACATCTCACCAACCCTATTGGCAAAAGAAAAATTTGAAACCCCATCAAACAGTTTCATAAAGATACCAATGATTGTCTTTTCATATCTCAATGATTATCATCAAGAACCTTATTCAAGAAGGTTATCTATGCTGAATCTTGATATGATGCATGAATTATCTGATTTACGTATAACTATGTTTGTTCATCAAAGAGATGACCTTAAGGCATTTGATTATTATAATGCTCTTTGTCATCCACTAAGAGATTTATTGATGGCAGAAGGAAGTGGTATTAAAATAGAATCAATTAGAAGGAGAAAATATATTCTGACAATAGGATAGTCTAAATTATTTATATAAGAAAATTATGTATTTAAGGATTGGCTTTCTAGCCTTCAATAAAGATTTTGCAGACTTTGCTTTCAACTGTTTTTTTGACTTTTATAATTGAAACACTTAAAAGGCTAATTGAAGCCTAGAATTAATCATAACATTCTCATACTTCTTGTTAGCATTAAATGCTAATGTTGGACTTATTGAATTTCTATTTTTATTTGCATCAGTTTGTTAACATGAATACATCTTCATGATTTCATTATTATATCATGAATACATTTTCATAATCTTATTATTGTGTTGTAAATACATCTTCATGTTCTCACACTTTTTCCATTGTTAACCTATTCAGATTTATCTATCATGCCTTAAATCAATCCTGTTATAGATTATCAATAATTGACAATCAGGATTAATTTGTCCATATACATTTATTCTGCATTTTTTAAACCCCAACATGCATCTCTTAAATTAACTTTAGCAGATAGTTTTCAGTTTTATATCTGTAATATTTGTATATAACTGCCTCTAGCTTTCCCTCTTGAGTAGATTTTCCACACCACTCCATGCTTTTTTCAATCAGTTATCTAGTTAGTTTACTATCCTGAATTAATCTGGCATCTCTCAAACTGATGCTCTCTTAATTTCAATAATAATATTTGGTATCAGCTGTGTAAATTCATACACCTGTTAGTTTTTAGAACCATATAACAACTTTAATCAATACTCTAGAAGCAATAGAGATCATAACTTCACTATTAACTTTTCAGAAAAACACCCTAAGCAATTGACTACTTGACTAAATATTACTGTGATGATTCTTGTATTATTTGTCATCCTCTAAAAACTATCTCTCCTTAGTTTTGTATCTTTTTGACCTGGTACAGTACTTTTCAACTGGCCTTACTTATTCTTAGCACACAATTAGACATTTTGAAAAATTTCAAAATTTCAAAGTAAATTGAATTCCTGATCAATTATAGAGCTGATTTTCTTTAGCATCTGTTATAGTAAATAGCCTAACAGCTTTTTTACATATATAAATGAGTTTTTAGTCACTTATCAAAAACTAATTAATTTACTATTGATCCTTTAGCTAATACTTATAATAGTGAAATCTTTTTAAAAATCTTAATAACTATATAGATCAAAATGAAAATCAGTAAATTCTATAACATAGTTTTTTTATAGTAACTCTTGATAGAAATTATGATAATTTGTATACAAACTAACTCAATCTTAACTACATGCTGTATGTTACTAGGATAGCGAGTAAATTCTGTAACAAAAGTTTTTATAGTTAACTCATAATATAAAACTATTGTATGTTACTAGAGTGATGAATAAGTTTTATAGCAAGATTTTTACAAATATTCATGATAGAAATCACAATTATTCCAATACAAACTATAACTCAATCATATATTATGTATCATTGACAATAACTCACAACAAAAATTATAATAATTCAACTAACTCAGTGCCTTACCAGAGTAGCCAACATGTTCGATAACAGATTTTTTTTTACAGTAACTCAAGATAAAATGTAACTTCGTATAAACTAGCTCTTTTAACAATATTCTATAATCCATAAATAAGTTCTGTAATATAATTCTTATAATTATTCTAAAATAATTTTAACCATATACAATGTGTTACTAGAATAGTAAATGAGTCTGCAGCAGAATTTTTTATAGTAACTCATGATAGAAAGCTTAATAATTCTAATGAAAACTTGCTCAACCTTAATTTCATAGTGCGTTTCAATAGAATAGCAAGTAAGTTTTGTACAGTAACTGAATTTTTTACAGTAACAATACAAACTAACTTACATACTTTGTCACCAGAATGGCAAGTTCTATAATAGAATTTTTGCAGTAACTCATGTTAGAATTCGTGATAATTCTAATGCAAACTAAGCCTTAACCATATACTGTGTTGCGTTCTGCAACAGAAGTTTTACATGAATTAATAATAGAATTCATGATAATATCAATACAAACTAAATCAACCTTAATCGTATACTGTGTGTTACCAAAATAACGAGTAAGTTCTATACCAAATTTTTACAGTAAATTATATGCAAATATCTTAACCAAACATATTGTGTTACCTGGATAGCTAATAAGTTTTGTAACAGAATTTTTTACAGTAACAATTAAAGCTAATTTATCCTTAACCATATACTGTGTGTCACCAGAGTAAGTTCTGTGACAAAATTTTTGTAATAACTCTTGATAGAAATCACGATAATTTGAATGAAGTTAACTCAACTTCAACTACATATTTTGTCACCAAAATAGCAAGTGAGTTCTGTATTTTTTACATTAATTGCAAAACAAATTAATTCAACCTTAACTATATGCTTTCTATTACTGAAATAGCGAGTAAGTTTTGTGTCAGAATTTTTTACAGTAACTTATAAACTAATTTAACTTTCAACTCATACTTATATGTTACTAGAAAAGCGAGTAAGAATTTTTACTGTAACTCTTGGTAGAGATCACGATAATTTGAATGAAATCATCTTAACTTTAACTGCATATTGCATCGAAAGTTCCATAACACAGTCGCTTACAATAAAATTAATGCAAATTAACTTTAATATACTGTATATTGTGTCATTGGAATAGTAAATTCGATAACAGAATTTTTTATATTAACTCATGAAAAAAAAAACAATAATTCTAACTCAACCTTAACCACATATTGTGTGTCACCGGAATGGCAAGCTCTGTAACAGAATTTTTTATAGTGCCTTATTATAAAAATCGTATTATTTCAATGCAAATTAACCTAATAACCACACACCATGAGTTAACAGGATAACAAGTGAGTTCTGCAACAGAATTTTTTATAGAAACTTATGGTAAAATCAACTCAACCTTAACCACATAAGGTGGAGTCGAGTATTATGGTACGGGTTATTGTAGTACACTTGCATTTTTTTTCGCGATATCTGGAGATCTACTGATCAGATTTGAATAATTTTAGTGTTATTCGGTTCCCAACCTCAAAAAGTATGATAGTTTTTTGACGATTATTGAAAGTTTATAATATTAAGATGTTGTTTTTTAAATATAAAGTCTAGACTTTTTTGTTTTATTGCTAGATAGTAGGTAGAATTGTTATGTTATTTGATAAATATTGTGAATAAATAAGCTTTTTATGGAAATTTTACTATTCGCAACTCTTAAGTGTACTATAAACCCTACTCTACTTTACTATATGTCAACAGAATAAATAAGCAATTTGACAAATTTTTAGTGGAAATTGCAATAATTCCAATGCGAACCAAATGGTTATAGCAATGCACAATGCAACTCAACCTTAACCATATATTGTATATCACGAGAATAGCAAATTCCGTAACAGAATTTTTTATTAATTCAAAATAAAAATCATGATTATTTACAAATTTGCGTGTTAACAGAATAGCAAATTCTTTAGCAGTATTTTTTTACAGTAGCACATGATAGAGTTCATGCTAATTCAAATGCAAACTAACACAACCTTAACTACATAATGTGTGTCACTAGGATAGTGTTAATTTTTGTAACAATTTATTATATGATAGAAGCACAATTTTTACAGTGAAATTATGATAATTTCAATTTATATTATATGTTACTAAATAAGGGGTGGCGCGTAAGCGCCACCTGTTATGCTAGTAGGGTGTTATAATAACACGGCGCTATGAATACAAGATTCCTTTAATATAATATCGTGGAATTAATTTTATTTAAAATTTTACAAATCATGAAACTTTCTGCTCAAAAATCTGATTTCGAACTCAATTCAAGCATAATAATTTTTAATATTTATAATAAAGATCGCTCGATTGCAAAAACTCGTGCTTAATTGGTTTAGTTCTAAACAAGTGCAACTGATTTTGGATGAGCCGGATTACATCCTACACTATAACTACTAGACCTAATCTTCACCCAATACTAAAATATAAAGCTTAAGATTCATATCATAGATCTTCTTAAAAGCTATTACCTCCAACACTTAAAATCACTTAGGCAAATAAAGAAGGAATTAGTTATCAGTAAAATGAAAGTGATTTACTTCAATCTATTTATTATGGATGGCTTTAGCATAAAATAAATTTGGTTTATATTAACATAAAATGAGCTCGTTTTATGCTAAACTTGTATAGGTTGAATTTATATTAGGCTGAGCTTAGCGCAAGTCGAATTAATTTTATGCAAGAATAGTATAATGGGTCCTTCATTTACTAATTGATCAAATTTATGGAAAGT